GCAGTAAAGGATAAAGAAGACAAGATTTACGTGGTTCGGTAATGTGCCTACATTCACGGGAATGAAAGTATTCTCTTATTATTTGTGATGGTGTACAAGGTGATGAGATACATTGATTATATTTATAGGCATATAATCTCCCTTTCACTCCTATTTCTTATATGAGACAAACTCATATTCCTAATCCTTATATGAGACAAACACAACAAATCTCCACATTGGCGAATATGCTCTCTAGGAGAAAAAGATAACTCAACAAATCTTCACCTTGGCGAATAAGCCCTTTAGGAGAAAATACTTATCTAACCATCTCCACCTTCGCAAATAAGCCCTTTAGGAGAAAAAACTCATCTCATAGTCTCCCTGGATTAGGACCACCATGTTCATTTAACATCTGGAAACACCCAACAAGTCCAAACAATGTTTGAACTTGTCACTAGTAACTGCCTTTGTCAACATGTCTGCTGCATTCTCACTTGTATGAATTTTCTGCAACAAAATCTCACCAGAAGCAACCAACTCTCTGACCTTATGAAACCTTACATCAATATGTTTGGTTCTAGCATGGTATACTTGATTTTTAGCTAAGAAAATGGCACTTTGATTGTCACAGTGTAATTGAACTCCATCTTGCTCAATACCCAACTCCTTAATCAAACCTGAAAGCCACAAAGCCTCTTTAGCTGCCTCAGTCACAGCCATGTATTCTGCTTCAGTTGTAGACAAAGCTACAATAGACTGAACTGATGATCTCCAGCAAATAGGACCACCCCCAAGAGTAAAAACATACCTGTTGTAGAACGTCTATTATCCATGTCACCACTATCACCATCAAATAATAAGAGTATTGTTTCAGGTCGAGCCAAATCAGGTCGAGTACAAACCATTTGTTGTGTTTGTCTCATATAAGGATTAGGAATATGAGTTTGTCTCATATAAGAAATAGGAGTGAAAGGGAGATTATATGCCTATAAATATAATCAATGTATCTCATCACCTTGTACACCATCACAAATAATAAGAGAATACTTTCACTCCCGTGGATGTAGGCACATTGCCGAACCACGTAAATCTTGTCTTCTTTATCCTTTACTGCCATTATTATTTTTCTCGTTCTTGTTTAATCTCAACAAATTGGTATCAGAGCACTGTTGAGATGGTCCGTTCAAGTATAAAATTCAAGGTATCAAAGTTTGATGGTATAGGGAATTTTGGGTTATGGCGGTCTAGGGTAAACGATTTGTTGGCATATGAGGGCCTTCTGAAAACCTTGAGGGCAGAAAATCCAGCAAATCTGGAAGAGGCTGATTGGAAGGAGTTGAAAAAGCAGGAAGCTATGAACATGGTTCAAGCTAATGACTCTTATTATAGTGAAGGTGATGTTCTAGCGGTAACAAGCAACAAGTTCGAACATTGTTTGGACTTGTTGGATGCTTCTAGATGCTAGATGAGAAAGTGTTTGAGGGGCGCTGTGGTGTTGGGCAGCGCGGATACCAGGAGGGGCCGTGGACCTGGTGTCAGTGTGGGATGGGCTTGTCATGAGTCACGGCTAGTATGGGTTGGGCTTGTCACGAGATATGGACCTGGTATGAGTCGAGCTTGTCATGAGTCACGGCTGGTATGAGCTGGGCTAATATGGCTTGGTGTTACGGATTGCTTGGGACGAAGCAGTTCGTGAACATGCACGGGGAAACGTTTGATGCTGCGTGGTGCGTGTTGCTGACCAGTGGTAATTGCTGGTTAGTGGAGCATTGGGCAAGGCACACGAGTTTAGTGTGACTTTGCAGGGGCGCTGTTGTGTTGGGGCAGCGTGGATACCAGGAGGGGATATGGACCTGGTATGGGCCGGATGCAGGAAGTCAGCTAAACAGGGCAGTTAGCATGAGTCGCGGCGGTATAACAGGTCGACGGCTGAGGGGCGAATGGCTTGGAACAAAGCGGTTCGTGTACATGCACTGGGTAACGTTTGATGCTGCGTATGCATGTGGCTGGCTAGTTGGGATGAGCATGGTTGTTCCTACCCATGTGTATATGTGAGATAAGTTTTTTTTCTCCTAAGGGGCATAATTGTGAAGGTGGAGATGGTGAGATAAGTCTTTTCTCCTAAGGGACATATTTGCTAAGGTGGAGATTTGTTGAGTTATCTTTTTCTCCTAAAGGACATATTTGCGAAGGTGGAGAAGTCTTTTCTCCTAAAGGGCATATATGTGAAGGTGGAGATGGTGAGATAAGTCTTTTCTCCTAAAGAGCATATTCGTCAAGATGGAGAATTGTTGAGTTATCTTTTCTCCTAAAGAACATATTCGCCAAGGTGGAGATTGTTGAGTTTGTCTCATATATGGATTAGGAATAAGTGTTTGTCTCATACTAGGAGTAGGAGTGAAACGGGTAGACCTATTGTATAGGTGGATGCCTATAAATATATTGGTTGTATCCCTAAAGGGTTGTGTGTCACCACTATCACCATCAAATAATAAGAGTATTGTTTCACTCCCGTGGATGTAGGCACATTGCCGAACCACGTAAATCTTGTCTTCTTTACCCTATTTGCCATTATTATTATTTCTTATTCTTGTTAATCTCAACACATGATCTATGATATAATCTGTCACCATGAATAACTAATTACAGATATGGTTCATACATGACACATAATTAAAAAGAGTTAATTTCATTTTTGGTCCTAGATTTATAGGTGGTAGTCCATTTATAGTTTTTTTTATCAGAACATCCTCATTTGGTCCTAGTATTATTGTAGCAATGTAGCATGACCATTTTTTATCTTCCGTCAACAAAATCATTGAAATGTTGTTAAATATAAGAGCATTTTGATCTTTTTCATACAAAGTGGGTTGACTCGCTATATTTTTATGTTTATTTATTTTTTAAAATTCATAATTGAAGACCGAAATGCTCTTCTATTCAACAACATTTAAACTATTTTATAGATAAAAGATCAAAAATGATCATGCCACAATAATACTAGGACCAAAAATAAATATTTTGAAAAAAAAGAACTAAAAATGCCTGCCACCTATAAACCTACGATCAAAACTCAAAAGTAAAATTAACTCTAATTAAAAAGATGCATGTAATTTTTAATGTTGCATACTAAGTTAATACAAGATCGTGTGCACCACAGATCACATGTATGTTAAATGTGATTGAAATACTACATCAATATAGGGGTGTAAACGAGTCGAGCTGAGCTCGAGTTTGGGTTGGCTTGAGCTTGAGCTCGTTAAGGAAGGCTCGGCTCGAGCTCGAGCTCAACAACTAATGCTCGAGCTCGAGCTCGAGCTTGGCAATTTTCGAGAAGCTCGAGCTCGACTCGAGCAGCTCGATTGTTCGAGCTCGATTTTGGGTTCGAGTTCGGGCTTGAATTTGACCTCAAATTTGACTTGTTTGATTTTAAATTCATGTTCCAATTAAAAATAAACTACTTTGTTTTATCCATACATAATTGGTAGTTGTCGGCTAAGTAAATTGACAGAGAACGGAGACTACTCGACTATCTTCGTGTCTCGTCTTCTGTCGGATGAGTGCTTGAGCTAGGGCTTGGGTAATGGGGAGTTGGGGAAGCGATAGAAGATTAGAAGAGTAGAAATTTAATTATTATTATTATTATTATTATTATTATTATTATTATTATTATTATTATTATTATTATTATATTATATACAAGGCTCGCGAGCGGCTCGACGAGCCACGATCCTAGAATAATTAGGCTCGGCTTGAGCTCGATTATTAAACGAGGCGCTCGAGTTCGGCTCGAGCTCAATTTTGACCGAGCCGCTCGCGAGCGGCTCACGAGTAGCTCGACTCATTTACACCCCTACATTAATATATTTGGTTGAATTGGATGCTCAATTCATATAATAATAATAATAGTAATTGTAATAATAATAACAATAACAACAACTGCACTAGCAGCAGCAGCAGCAACAACAACAATAATAATACAAGTTTGGTCGCCTTCTTCGGTGATCAGATGCCCAATACTAGTTTGGTCGCCTTCTCTAATTGCTAGTGAAGGCGACAATTGGTCGCCTCCTCCAAACGCGACCGACGATCGTTCGGTCGCCGATGATTATGGCTAGAAAATTGTGCTAATGAAAAGGGTCGGCGGAACTTTACGTAACCTATAATTACAGTTATCAGTTGGTTTTTGGACTTTAATACTTTCAAATAATAACATATTTATGAGTTTAATATTAACTTTTAAAAGTTTAAAAAATTAATTAATCTTAAATAAAATTTAGGAGCCTATTTAACTATTTTCTCCAAACAAAATGAATTATATGATGATAGAATTATATGATGATAGAATTCGTATTCAAATTATACATGTGTAAGTATATATATATATATATATATATATATATATATATATATATATATATTTTTTTTTTTTTTTTCAAACTACTACACGATATTGAATATAGGTGCCGTCCATTGTACATTCCTGCAACCGCATTATTTGACTACTTTTAGAAACTAACTAAAGTATCATGGAAATTTTCATAAATGTTTTTTTTTTTTTTTTTAAGTTGTTTTACTTTCATCATTTTTTAATATTATTACTAGTACTACAACCTCATCAATAGATTTCCTACTTTATCGATCACCATCACCAGTTCTTCAACTCTATCGAAAATTTAAAACTTTTCTCAACATATAAAATAAATTTATTGAGAGTTTGAGTGTTGAGTGTTGCATTTAGATTTGATTGTCAAGACAAAAAGGGGTAATTGAAAGATTTTGACTTTGATGGTTCTACTATTAATAATTGATTATAAATATAATTCACCCGTAATTAATAATGAAGTATGAAATAAAGCACTTATTACTAAACAACAACCATATACTAAACACCCGGCGGGGATGGATCGTATAAGCTCTTTGGACATGGTTTCGAGATTTATTCTACAGATGACATCATCACTACACAGCTGGTCTACCATGAACAAAATTATTGGAAAGATGACACACCAATACATGTACAAAGGCATTCAATTTTAAATGTACAGACAACAAATGAGTTTATTGGATCAATTTAGATATAATCTTATCACTAGCATATTGTAAAAGAAAGAGGTAAATGCAATATATAATCTAGACAGTACACTAATTAAGCTCTAACCATAGCTCATAGGTTATATGACTATATATCTCATTCCATGTCTTCTGGATGGTCAACACCCCCGGTTGAATCCTCAATCCCAGCCCGAAACACCCTTCTTCTTTACCTTTAAGAATGACATTGGTTTGTCCCCAATTTCATTCTATATATGTCAAAGGATGCGAAACTTGTGCTTACATAAATTAAAAGAAAGAACCTATATAATAAGCAACTCAATTATAAAGGTGTAAAGGTAGGCGTGGGGTTAGAGAAGCACAGAGTGGGCTTGCTTTCATATTCGTTAGTCCGGCACCATCTGTCATGTCAATAGGCTTACGAGAAATCCTTTTTAAATCAAAACCTTGAATAAGACTAGCTAAAGTGAACTCCACAACTTGTAGCGCTAAAGAAACTCCCGGACACATTCTCCTTCCACTACTAAATGGAATTAACTCAAAATCATTGCCCTTAACATCGATCTCCTTATACTCACTCAAGAATCTCTCTGGCTTAAAAGCATTGGGATCCGACCAAAAATTTGGATCTCGATGTACCTTAGAAACATTCACAAATATGTGTGTACCCTTTGGGATGTGGTAGCCATTTATAACGCTATCATCTGTAGATTCGTGTGGTAATATTAGAGGACCAGCGGGATACAAACGTAAAGTTTCTTTCACAACCGCTTGAAGATAAGTCAAGTTGTTTAAGTCGGAATGGTTGATGTGCCTTTCCCTCCCGACATGGATGTCTAGCTCAGCTTGGATCTTCTCTAACACAGTATAATTGTTCAATACTAAAGAGATGGCCCATATTAATGTTATCGTAGTTGTATCTGTACCGGCTGATAGCACAGCCTGCCATAAAGATTAAAAAATAACATAATTGACAAAATGTCATGATATAATTGACAACAGAAGAGTGACATACCATGCAAGTAGCTTTCACAATTGTGTCGGCTTCAAAATCCTTTGGAATATCATTGCCATCCTCATCGGCACCATGAAAACTGGACAGCAGTCCATCCATGAAGTCTTCTTCCTCTTTAGGTTTCGTATCTCTTTTCCTTTTATGTTCTTGTAACCAACCTTCCACTAAACTGTCCATCTCTTTGGCAGTCTCCCTCATGGCCTTCTCATGCCCTCCTATGTCCATCCATCTTAGCCATGGCAGATAATCACCCACAACAAACGCCCCCATCAAGTCAAAGAACCTCCTCATCGTCACTACTGTCCGGTTCCCTTCTTCCTCGTACCGCTGCCCGAAAAGCATCTTCGTCATGATGTCCATGGTTAGTTTCCCAAACCACTCCTTCATGTCCAGCTTTACATCTTCGGATTCATTATCCTTGTCCCTCGCCCAGCTTCGGTAGATGTCTTGGGTAAACGATCTTACTTCAGATTCCCAAACCCGCCGGAGCACCTTGTAAATGTGAGAAAATTATATATATTAATCACAGCAAGTACTGGCTATTTCCAGTGAAGTTACGAAAAAAAAAAGATAGAATCTAAGTTAAAATGAAATATTTTAAAGGAGAGTTACTGCAACAACATGAAGATTAAATAATACAGCAAATATAGAAGAAATTAATACAATTAATCTTTAACACACCTCGAGACGGCGGTTGGACAGTAGCTCGAGCATGACAACCTTGCGGGAATGGCGCCAGTACTGTCCGTACGGGGCCAGCCCAAACATGGCGTAGTTGTATCCCATGACCTCCGAAGCTATGGCCTTGGGCCGGCTAGCGAGGACCCTGTCGTTGGTGGTAAAGCATTCTTTGGCGATTTGCGAGTTGCTAACCACCAAGACTTGATGCGCGCCGAGTCTTAACCGGAATATAGGCCCGTATTTATCCGCCATGTCGGCCAAGATTTTGAAGGCGGGTCGTGGGGCAGCGAGGAGGTGGAGATGGCCGATTATTGGCCATGCGCCGCCTGCTTCCGGTGGTTTTTGGCCGGACTTTTTATCAAATAAAAAGTGGTAGATAAGAAGGACAAGTAGAAGAGTGGTAGCAAAAGCTGCTACAATGGATGGCAGAGTGAAATCCCCCATGGTTTAATTTGAAGCTTGTGGTCACCTAGCTAGCTACTTTGTAGATTGCTTACAAATACAGACAGACGAGGAAGGTTAATGTTGTATGTCTGATCTTTGGCGTCAATTTTTTATGTTTATAATTTTGCCAAATTCCAAAATCTGGACCACTGCACGCCTATCTTCTTGGGGGAAAAGAATGCTTAGCTCATGGCTGGCGTCCACGGTCCACCGATCTAACTAATAAATATATTTAAGTGATATTGATAAATTTGTGTCATTTTTCGAGATTTTGTTATATTATTTTTATAAATTTCAATTTTTTATAAATATATAATATTATTTTTATGAATATGTATCCATAGTTTTATGTAGATCTTTCTGAGTGATTAGAGAAACCAGATGATAGTGTATCCTCATTAAATTCTGGTCACTTTGAGATCCTACGCGATGAAAAATTATAATGTGATAAATCAACATATGAGTTGCTCATATAGCTGAGCTATCTTATTCAAATTAAGAAAGACAATAGATCACTTATACGTAAATTATTCTGTAGATCACGGTCAAAATGTTCATAGTTTATCTTTTAAAATTCATGTTTTATATACTACGAACACACAGTGTTAACATATATCTAATTGATTTTTCTTTTTTTTTTTTTTTTATCCACAAGTTTCTTTTAAATACTGCAGGATGACCCTGTATTGCGTGTATTGACAAATTTCCTTAGGGATCAGGTGCATTTGTGGCTTCCCGTGCCGATATGTGGTGGATTAATGTGCGTGAGGTTTATACTTAATGTGCGTGAGATTTGTACTCAATGTGCATGACTTGTACTTAATGTGCGTCATGTTAATATGCGTGAGTTTTGTACTTAATGTGCCTGAGTATTGTGTTTAATGTGCGTGAGATTTGTGCTTAATATGCGTGAGTATTTCATAATTACGAGCTCAGAAGGAAGCAGAACAGAAACTCACGCACATTAACGCCCAAGCTTCTTGTTACTTCTTCCTTCAATTTGGCCATGGATTATGGATTATCAGCTACCTTCAGTGCAGTTGAATGCTTATATAGATGACGCACGCACAGTAAAATTTGCACAACAGCTAAGTGTGGATTTTTGTTGTATTATTCCCATGCATAATTCTTAACCACCAAAGCCCGCCTCCGCATCATCATCATCAGGGAGGGGGCAATGGCTACTGGGGATGGGGAAGAAGCTGACATCAATATTTTCTGCTGCATTTTACACATTCGCGCACATTAAGTACAAATCTCAGGCACATTAAGCACAACACTCACTCACATTGAGTACAAATCTCACGCACATTAATCCACCGCACATCCGCACGAGAAGCATTCATCCGCAAGGGAACCTTTCACCGACAGTTGTTATGTGTTTTAACTTAGAAAAAACAATTTATATTCTAGAAGTTCACAATTCTAATACTAAAAATACATAATTTATATATCATTTAGGATAAGGATACACTTTGCAAGGTGAACCCTAATCCATAGTATAACAAGTCTCACTTACGCTAGCTAGGAATCAAATGTAACATGGATCTTCATGATATAGGTATTATTTGTACATAATACATAATTAAAAGCATGTAATAATTTTTAACGTTAGTATAATGTTGCATACTAACTTAAATACAAGATCGCGTGCAACATGAGTTACGTACGAGTAGGTTGCAAAATCAATATTTTCAAGATAGACGGCTTATCGTTTTGAGTTTCCTTTGCCTAACGTCCAACTACTCGTCACAAAGTAGACATCTTTTTTTTCATGCCCATATCACTGATATCAGCTTCCCCTAGCTCAACTAAATTCCTCTTTGTAAATTTATTTCTTTTTATACTTTTTTTTTTATAATTTAATTCTATTTACTAACTTTTAAATATTATAATTTATATTTATTTTTTTTATTTTTGTTGTGACTTTAACCTATCCCTCCGTTTAGCTAAAAATAACATAAACTTCAAATATGATAGAATTTGCATTCACATTATATGTGTGCAAGTATACTTTTTTTTTTTTTCAAACTACATAATATTGAATATAGGTGCCGTCCCTCGTGTAGTCGTGCAACCGCATTATTTGAATACTTTTTGGAAATTTTTATAAATGTTCTTTTTTTTTTTTCAATTTCTTTTAAAGTACACGTAATTTTTTTACAAGGTAGTATCAATTCGTTCTATATTTTCTCAAAAATTTTCAATCCAAAAAATCTATGTCCCACCATTGAAATTCGAACCTATGATCACCCAATTAGAATGATAACTAAAATATCATCATACAACATGATAGTTGACACTTATTTCAGTTTCATCACTTTTAAAATATCCTTTATATAATAAAGCTATATGGTTTGGGAAATAATTAATGTTACAATTAATGCCACAACATCTTTTATTATAAAAAATAAAAAAAAAACACAACATTTAAAAAATAAAATAGCTATATATTATATAATCATATAAAAAATATACTTTTGAAAAATAAAATAGCTATATATTATATAATCATATAAAAAATGTGTTCAATTAGAGTTTAAATTTACACATACAAAATTTGAAATTTATTTTCCAAATGTAATTATCTTAGTTATTATTCGTATTGTGAAAATTATAATATAGATGAAATACAATTAAGAATAAATCAATGTAATTATGTAAATTTTCTCTATAAGTTTATTTGAATATGCACATAATTAGAGATTATATTAATCATAGAAAATTATAATTATAATTTTAAATTTAATTTTAATTGTAATTTTGTATTCTATAAAAATAATAAATACTTGACGAATGGATGCTCAAAAATATTATTATATTAAATAATTTAAAATATTTTAGTTTTTCTATTTTTTATTTATATTTATAATAACATAATTTTTTTCCGTGCATCGCCTGGGTGAATTACTAGTTATTACTAATACTACGTACAATTTCCTCCACCAATTCTTCTTCAACTCTATTGAAACTTTGAAGCTTTTCTCAACATATAAAATATATTTAATGAGAATTTGGTGTTGAGTGTTGTACATACATTTTATTGTCAGGACAAAAATTGGCAATAAAAAGATATTAACTTTGATGATTCTATCATTAATAGGTGATTATAGATATGATCCGCACATAATTAATAACGAAGAACAAAATTAAACATCAAACAACTGTTAGAAAATTAGTTACGTTATTATTTTGGTATGTAAAATGATCCTTTTCAGAGATATTTTTGAGTGTAAACTTCTGATTTGAGTCGGGTCAAGGTGGTTTCGTGTTCTCCTAAGTGAGAGATTTAATTTGATATATAATGCACTCAAAAGGGATAATAAATGAGTTAATGAGAAATTGATTTTCAAAATGTACTCATTTAAGTTGGGAAAATTGGAGTTCGAAAGATTTTGAATGAGCCGTTTGTCCCACATTCCAAAAAGAAGTGTGTTTGCACTAATATATATACAAATTTTTTTTTATGAATGTTTGAATTGTATAGGTTATAGACTCTCTAATGCGTAAGACATGCAAAAGGCTTGACTCATGGCTAATTCATTTATTCATATATATATGTAGATTGATTTATCCTCTAGATTGGGAGCCATCCTTTTTACAACTAAACTATATAATTTGTATTCATTTCATTTCTCTAGCATTGAGAAAAAAGCTCGTTCAAACAATGGATTTTCCTATTCCACCTACTCACCGTCAATGATAGACTTCCCCACAAAATCTTGGCCGACATGACGCATACGGACAAATTCGAGTAATTGAGTCTTTTAGAATGAAAAGTTTGCTTTATCAACTTAATTAGGATATGTGTACATATTTAGAATAAGAGTAAAAAAATAATAATAAACAAAATGAGTTTTTAATTTCTGAGAAAATAATCTCAAACGGAAATCCAAATCCAGTACTGACACTCTCCTTAAAACTAATTTGCTACCTCCTGAGAATACTAGAAGCGTTGTAGTATTAATTTCCCAAGATAAAATGTGTTAAGAGTTTTTCGTATTTTTGGTCCCACAAGTATTGTGGCACTAACAATGTTGATCCACAACTTTCAAAGATTGGTTCATGAGTATCAATTTCTTATTAGCGCAAATAGTTTTTCCGTTGAAATCTCCGTCAATTTTTCCTCGAAAATTTATTTTCCCTTTATAGTAGGGGTATAATGCTCTTTTCCTTTTATCACCACGTTTTCCCCTTGGAATTTTTTGCACTTCTGGTCCCACAAGTATTGTGGCACTAACAATATTGATCCATAACTTTCAAAACTTGCCTAATTGGTCCACGAGTATCAATTTCTTAGCGCAAATAGTCCTTCTGGTAAAAAGACAATTATACCCCAAAATGAAAACCATTATACCCTTGCTATAAAGGGAAAATAATTTTTCCGGTGAAAAATTGACGGAGATTTCACCAGAAGGACCATTTGCGTTAAAAAATTGATACTCGTGGACCAATTATGCAAGTTTTGAAAGTCGTGGATTAACATTATTAGTGCTACAATACTCGTGAGACCAAAAGTGGGTGCGAAAAAACTCAAATGTGTTAGGAATAACTTAAATGTGTATGTTTGGAATAATTGTTTATAGATTTTGATGATGCAAATAGACATCCTTATTCCCTCCTTAAGACATCATCCCTAGGTTTACTCAACCCCCTGGTCTAGTGGCTTGAGGTCCAACATTTAGCTCATATATATACTAGGGTTTGATTTCCAGTGCCTACATTATTATTTCTAGCCCACAATTTGGGGCTACAACTTATATTATTTATTATTTGGGCTCGGGCTTTGTACGCACACACTTTGGGCCTAGCGCCTCAGGTAATGGTCGTTATATCATAGACCGTGGTGCATGTGCACCGCGGTAAAAAACGGCGCCGATTCTTTAAGTAAAGAAACGGTCCGCCGTTATAATTAACGGAGTCCGCTTGTTTGGTGTATTAAACATCAACTGACACTACAGTATATCTAAACCGACACTGCAGTTATATCAAAATGATACTGTAGTTATAGTGAAATGAAACTGCAGTGTATATAAAATGAAACTGAATAACATTTCACATATTTGAGTGTATATTGTACAATGAAGCTGTAATTATATCAAAATGATCATGTAGTTGTGTTATAATGAAACTATTGTATATAAAATAAAATTAAATAACATTTTCACATATTTGAGTCTATAAATATCGAATGAAACTATAGTTATATCGAAATGAAACTGTAGTTGTGTTGAACTGAAACTGCAGTGTATACAAAATGACACTGAATAACAATGTTACTTTTTGCGAAAGGGTGCGAAACGGCGGAAAACAAACACCGTTTCTTTTCATTTAAAAAAAGGACGCGCGGTGCATGATTGATCTTAAATTTGTACTTTCCTACCTCGTTATGTACTTCTATACCCGGCGCGGTTTATGGTGGATCTGGTCCTAACAAAACCAACAGTATATAATCTTAGTTATCTTATATAACTTGAAACAAATACCTAATGATTTTATTGATGTACCTACATAAACCTATTGGTAAGTTAAATACCAACGAATTATATTAGTTTATTTAGGAATGTTTTATAGGTAAATTCAATTTTTCTTATAATATATAGTGCATCATCCTCTATCCAAAGTAACAAATTTACCATGCATGGGTCAAGGAATTTCACATTTTGTCAACGAGTAACAAATTTATGTTGACAACTTATTTCCCAGTGATTCTTGGATTCTTTAGCAAGCCATGATGGTGGTAGAGGCTAGCTAGGAATCCATAATTATGAAGGATGTGGACAAAATATAATGGTCTATGGTTGTGGAACATGAGAACCTTCTTCCTCATCCCAGATGTGGACAAGGATGGGAGGTCCTCGATAGTTCGACACTCATGGCTGTAGAGAACGAGGTTTAATTTATTCTTGTCCTCCCACGTACGTTTGTGGAGCTAGGATGAGATTTAATTTGTCTTCATCCATGGACGTGGTGATAAGGGAAGACTATCATTATTTGGCTATGCCACCATGCATGTAAGGTAATTTCAATCAATCAAAGATTCCAACTTATTCTAAGACTTGTCCGACAAAAGAAATTCTTGGATACATATTTCCAATCTTATTCATCATCAAAAGTTACATACTACTATATTATTAATTATTTTTATTATATATATGCTCTTATATGAAATAACATAGTTCGAATTGATAAAATAAACTATAAATATTATTTTAAACAACTTGAAACTGCATCCAGGAACAGGCCAGGTGAAGAAGTCAAATGTAGAGATGAGAAGGTAGGCGTGGGGAAAGGAGAACTTGGAGTGGAGTTGCCTTGCCAACCGCCAAGCCATTAGCCTCTGTCATGTCAATTGGTTCATCCGAAGATCTTTTTATATCAAAGCTATGAATGACAGCAGCCAAGCCCAATTGCACACTTTGTAGTGCTAAAGACATCCCAGGGCAAATTCTTCTTCCGCTACCAAATGGGATTAGGTCGAAATGATTGCCCCTCAGATCAATATCCTTGTGCTCCATCAAAAATCTCTCGGGTTTAAAAGCATCCGGATCTGCCCAAAAATTCGGATCCCGTTGAATCTTTGAAACATTTATCAATACGCGTGTACCCTTGGAGACGTGATAGCCCTTGATCATGCAATCTTCCATAGCTTCATGTGGAATTAAGAGGGGGCCTGGAGGATATAAACGAAATGTTTCCTTGATGACAGCTTGAAAATAAGTCAAATTTCCAAGATCAGACTCGTTGACGTGCCTTTCTCTCCCGACAACGTTGTCTAGCTCACCTTGAATTTTCTCCAACACATTATCATTATTTAAAATTAAAGAAAGTCCCCAGGTTAACATTGTTGAAGTTGTATCAGTACCTGCTGCCAATAAAGCCTGCAATATGTATAATCAAAATATATTTAACAAGAGTATCTATTTAAGAAGAATCTTAGCTTCAATTCTCCCACTGAATAATTTGGCGCATACCGTGCAAGTGGCTTTGACAACCGTGTCAGAATCAAAACCATTGAGAATATCTTTGTTACGATGAATTTGGGAAAGGAATGCCTCCATGAAGTCTTGTTGGTCTTGTTCATTAGTAGTTTTGTTTTTATGTTGTTGTAGCCAATCTTGCATTACCCTGTCCATCTCTTTAGTGTTCTCCTTAATGGCCTTCTCATATCCTCCAATGTCCAACCATCTTAACCAGGGCAAGAAATCACCCACAAGAGACATCCCCAGCAGTTCAAAGGTTCTCCTGAACGTGGCTGTCACCCACCTCCCTACTTCCTCGTACCGATGCCCGAAGAGCAGGTGTAACATGGAGTCTATGATTAGTTTCCCAAACAACTCCTTCATATCCACCTCAACAACGTTGGACTGGTTCTTCTGATTGGCCCAACTCGAGTAGATGTCTTGGACGAATGTTTTTGCTCCCAGTTCCCGGAAGCGGCGGAGCGCCTCCACCCGGCGGTTGGACAGCAGCTCGAGCATGACCGCCTTGCGGACGTCGCGCCAGAACTGACCGTGTGGGGCTAGCCCGAAGTCGGCGTAGTTGTAGCCTATGTGGTCGGAAGCTATGGCCTTTGGGCGTCCGGCGAGTGCTCGGTCGTTGGGGCCCTGCAGGCATTGTTTGGCGGTGTGCGAGTCGCTCACCACCAGCACTTGGTGTGCGCCGAGCCTCATTCGGAATAAAGGCCCGTATTTGTCTGCCAAGTCGCCCAGCACTTTGTGGGGCATTCTATCATTGCCGCCCAAGAGGTGGAAATGGCCGATTATAGGCCATGCCAAGCCTGCTTCGGGGACACCTTCTTTGTTACGGAAGAGGAAGAAGAAGGTGACAAGTATAAAAGCCGCCGCTACTATAAGGCTTGCTGGTAGAGGGAAATCCATGGTTAATTTGTATGTAGTTAATCTCGATGGAGCTGAGGCCAGCCAAGATATCATTATATATATATATATATATATATAGAGGCGGGTTCAGGTGCGGCAGTGTCTTACGGTGTGGTTATTTCTTACAGTGCGGCAACACCAATAGTTCACCAAATATGCACCATCAACGTTAAGAAATACACCACACAAAACAGAGTAAACAGAGCCCTGCATCACCAAACACACACCATTAGGTGTGAGTAAAAACACCATACACTGTTCGGAAATACACCATTGGGGGTGGTGAGTTATATGGTGTATTTTTTTGAGTCTGTAGTGTATTTTGTGATGTTTTATTACATTTCATTGGGGTGTGTTTTTATTACACTGTTGGTGCATATTGTTAACACTGTTGGTGTATTCTGGAATTTGACCGCACCGCCGCACCGTAAGACCCCGCCGCATATGAGCGCTCTTATATATATATATATATATATATATATATATATATATATATATATATATATATATATATATATATATATATATATCAGAACCAAAGGATTGATTAGGTATACTAATTTGTACTTGATTACACTTTTCGTTCCTTCATTGGCTGATGATCAGCAGTCGTCAATAGAAAAAAATGAATACGGCTTGAAATCTCTGATAATGAAAGTTACATATCTAGATGACACAATTCAACGTTACATTTGTTGCATGTGTACGTACTATACCTCTGAATTTTCAATAATATTATGTGTTTAATTAACTTAAAGCATCCCTAATTCTAGGTTTTTGCTTGGTTTGTTCAGATGAAAAATTTTGGAAATGATTTTTCGTCAATGAAAAATGAGTTTTTAGATAGTTTTTCCTTCCGCAAGAACGTACTCAATTTTGATAGGATCTACTAACGGAAAAAAGCAAAGCAATGTGTGACCGTCTACCCTTTCTCTCCTACATAATTATGACAAAAACTAAAAAATCACCCAAATACCTCAGTAATAAAATTGCTCTTAAGCAGCAATAATCCTTATTATCTACAATTGTGCCTCTTTCAATTTGATGTGTGTTTTTTTTTTCCTTTTTTGGTAAGCCACGTGGCTTGAAAAAGGCTATCAGATCAGGCATGGCAGTCTTTTGTCCTTATTTATTTTTAAATTTTATATTTATTATTTTATTATTACTTTATTATTATATTTATAATATAAGTGTGACCACATTTGAAAGTGAAAAATAAATATTGTAAAGATGTAAAGATAATAATAAACATTTATAAATGATGATATAAAAATGAGACTTATTTTTGAAAGTGATAAAAATATTATAAGAATAAGCCTTGCCTGCTTTCTTCTATATACATGGATGAACTTCACTAATTCTCGGTGAGTACGTAAGCCTAACCATTCTCCATAAAAGTATGAGTAAACGGTTAATATGCGCATGGACAGTTCAACTGGTCATAGAGGTGAAAGGTTAGAAGAATGACTAAGGATTGAATTTCACCAACAACAGTGAGGGATAGCTTCTGTGGTTTCTTGTTCAGTTGAATTACCATGATTTACATCCTTTCAAATGTTGGGTTGGGATTCAACCTTTTGGAAGAATGAGTAAAAGGTTAATAATGACCCCACACTCAAATTAATTACTCCGTATAAAATAATAATGCCAAACAAATTTTGATGGTTAAATAGTAAAATTTGCAATTATACGCATGGTTTAATGTATCATCAGTATTACCACTTTGGTGCTCGAAGACTACCTGCATATTCGTATTACTGTATGCATGAAAGTACGTTCATATGTATATAGTGAATAACTAATAAGTGTATAGTCGTACATATTTTTATACTATATTTAAGTCTAATTTGCTATAGTTTTGTCCAAAATGTGCCTCATATATTTTATTTGGTCAATTAGTTAGGTAAAATTCTTGACGATTGAGTTGAATTTATTGATTTTCGAAATCAAAATGCGCATTTTATTAGAGCGCATTTACATAGAAATTAAACAAACATTGTACACTTTCCCAGACATATGTACTAGAGAAATGTAATCTAACATAACCAATAATAGGGAATGACACTTTTCCATGAATTATTATATGTTTATAGCACATTTTCTTCCTTAATTATTCATGTAAATATATTACCTCCTTCAATTTTAAAAGTGGCGATTTTTCCTCCCTGATATATTAAATTGACATCTCTACCTTTAAAGTAAATATTTTCTTTATTTTTCTTTTCTAACAAATTATTGCTTATACGTAGGGATGACCACGGTTTGATTCGAACTGAACCGGACACTATTGCAATCAAATTGAAAGTTTTCGATTATGATTCAAATCCAGAACCCAATATTTAGATTTCAGTTTATTAAAATCATGAATCGAAAAAACTAGATCCTGAACCGTGAACCTGCGGTTCGAATGGAACAACTACTAGCACTAGTTTAAAATTAGAATTATAATATTTACAAATAGTGTATGTTCTTTTTTACATTTATTCTGATTCTCACATATAAGTATATATGATCGCGATTTGGTTTTGATTTTGAACTGCCGGTTCACGGTTCCGGATCCAGTTTAAACGGTTGGTTCAAACTTTATTTTAAAATTTTATTTTTTATTTTTAAAATAGTCTAAATTCAACAATAAATGTACTTTTTTTTTTTAGTTCGAAACATGAACCGAGCATTTCGATTCGCGAATTTAATAAACTCTAAATATCGGATTTCGATTCTAAATTGTTATCGAAATATTTAAGTTTCGTTCCTATAGTGTCTGTTCGGTTTGAACCGAATCGTGGTCATTATTTGTTAGAGAAGAAAAATAAATGAAATATTTATTTTAACGATAAATATGTCTATTTAACATTTAATGGGAAAAACTGCCACTTAAATAATTCAGGGGAATAAAAAGTAAAGTATATAACTCAGTCAGTTTCCCATAATAATAATAAGAAATTTCTTGGACCTAATGCTTTCTAAATGGATAAATTAAAGAGTGAGGATTGTGCAACATGGCAAAAGCCGAGACGTAGGCGGTTCGATGGCTGTTCAATTTTGAAATAATTTAGTCCATTGTGATCGGTCGAATATGAAGATGTTGTTCAATTATATATGGAGCAGTTTAGTCTTCGGAGATACAGAGCCTAGCTAGAAAAAAAATCCTTTAACCATTATCAACAATGACAGTCTGACGAAGCAGCCAGAGTTCTATTACGACTCCTAAAATTCTGCTCCCTTATTTATACTTTTTGAGGTGACAAATCAGAATTAGTTATTTTCATCATGTGAATTCACAAAAAAATGTCTACATCTAAAACATGTGAGAAAAAATACAAGTTGAGAGTTTAAAATGAGAGTACACTAAGTATTTTCTTAACATATCTACCCTTGAAGGTAACATACTGTTTATAATTTGACAATATACAAAGAAACATAATCTTACAATTGACGTACAACTTAACACTTCTAGATAACTCATCCTTTGTCGTGGTTTAATTTGACCTGCATTTTTGGATGAATTATGACCGCCATAATGGACTGCACATATATTTACTGCCCGGAGTTACGTTGTTCAATTTTTACAACAACTTATAACTGTTTTAGTAATTAAGTTTAATTTGTGTAAATCTGGCTAAGTAATTAAAGTTTGACACTCAATTTAAAAAAGTATAATACAATTATACCTCTATGACCAGTTGAGTTGCCCGCGAGCATGAATAATTAAGGTTCTAATTACATGTATGAATATCAACCATAATTACAACCATACAAAATAAGATGTATGAATATCAACCATAATTACAACCATACAAAATAAGAAAGTTTTATTGAGTAGTCAATACAATTTTGAAGTTGTTAAATTTATCTAAAATATATTTATTTAAACTTTTCAATATACACATTCTAATTTATTTTATTTTAAAATTAATCCCACTAAAGGAGAAAAGGAGTAAGGGCTGACAATGAGTATACTACGTAATACGCTGCTCTGTCTCTCTCTAGAACGTTCTTCACTTCTTCTCACCCTTCATTCTCCAACATCTCTCTAACTCCCTTTCATAGAAATTGCAGTGATTTTAGATAGGTTTTTCGCTAAACGGTTTTTTCATAGCATTACTGTTGTTCGTCTGAGCTTCGATCCATGTTTGGTAGGTTAGATTGTTAAAATTTATTTGTTCTAACACTGATTTTGCAGTGGCTGGTGTTGCTGGATTATTCATCGGAGAAGAGCTCTCCGACAGATGAAGGCAACCGGTTGACTCTTGGGCCATTAATGACAGTAACTGTTTGTTCCTACAAATTTTGTTTTTTTTTTTTTTTTAATATCTACAAATTTAGATAGGTTTTTCACTAATTGGTTGTTTCCTAGCACCACCGTTGTTCGCCTAAGCTCCGATCTATGTTTGGTAGGTTAGATTGTTAAAATTTGTTTGTTCTAACACTGATTTTGCCGCGCCGGATTATTCATCGGAGAAGAGCTCTCCGACAGATGAAGGCAACCCATTGATTTTGTAGTTATGTCACGCATGTCTGACAATGATGTTAAATTAACAATTTTATCCGATAAAAAATAATAATACAATATTTGTAATGTGATGTACAATTGTACCATTATAGAAATACAAACAAAAAGTATTAATACCATAATGATCTAAATCATTTCCAATAATGCAAAAGCATAATTGAAATATTGAGTCTTGTTCTAAATAATAATAATAATAATAATAATAATAATAATAATAATAAGATTAATTAAATGAAAAAAAAAACAAATACTACAATGTAATAGAGCCAGTGACACTCAAAAAAAATTAAATGAAAAAGAAAAGAAAAAAAAACATATCCTAATTTTTTTTTTATTTTTAATATAAGTTCAAGGTTCCTTATTTGTAATCTTTAAGGCTCAACTTTGAATGCTATGTATTTAGTCGGACTAATTATTTCGCCAAAGTTCATGTTAAATTAATTTTATATTATGTTAGTACATACCTTTTACGTCACTTTAATAATAG